GAACTGATCCTCGCAGAATACATTGCATGGGATTTAGCAAGAAGAAAGGAAGTGAAAATAGAGACTAAACACAAGGAAAACAGAGGGATACCCGCTATCACAAAGACCAGGGAGAAAACGTGAAAGATCCTTGGAAGTGTTATAATCCAACAGAAAGATGACTGGGATGAGACAGGACTCCTAGATCTCCTTCTAGAGATGTTATTGATAGAGAGACAACCTTCCTCGAAATGCCACTGGACCAGACTATTTTTATTCAGAGTTCAGTGACACTACATAGTTTTTCAAGTCCTAAACTTTAGTGTCCTACACTGTATTAACCTGTAAGAACAGGACTGATTCAACCTTCTTTCTTTTTTATTGTTTTATTATTCATATGTGCATACAAGGCTTGGGTCATTTCTCCCCCCTGCCCCCACCCCCTCCCTTACCATCCGCCCCCTCCCTCTGCCCCCCCACCCCCTCAATACCCAGCATAAACTATTTTGCCCTTATCTCTAATTTTGTTGAAGAGAGAGTATAAGCAATAATAGGAAGGAACAAGTGTTTTTCCTGGTTGAGATAAGGATAGCTATACAGGGCATTGACTCACATTGATTTCCTGTGCGTGGGTGTTACCTTCTAGGTTAATTCTTTTTGATCTCACCTTTTCTCTAGTTCCTGGTCCCTTTTCCTATTGGCCTCAGTTGCTTTTAAGGTATCTGCTTTAGTTTCTCTGTGTTAAGGGCAACAAATGCTAGCTAGTTTTTTAGGTGTCTTACCTATCCTCACCAGCTCCCTTGTGTGCTCTCGCTTTTATCATGTGCTCAAAGTCCAATCCCCTTGTTGTGTTTGCCCTTGATCTAATGTCCTCATATGAGGGAGAACATACGATTTTTGGTCTTTTGGCCAGGCTAACCTCACTCAGAATGATGTTCTCCAATTCCATCCATTTACCAGCGAATGATCCTTTTGGTCTATTTCCCCTTTTATTAGTATGGAATGTCCTTCTTTATCTCGTTTAATCAATGTAGGTTTGAAGTCTACTTTGTCAGAGATAAGTATTGCTACTCCTGCTTGTTTTCGGGGGCCATTGGCTTGGTAAATCTTCCAACCTTTCATCCTAAGCCTATGCCTATTCCTTTCGGTGAGATGGGTCTCCTGTAAGCAACAAATTGTTGGATCTTCCTTTTTAATCCATTTTGTCAAGCAGTGCCTTTTGATGGGTGAATTAAGTGGATTAACATTAAGTATTAGTACTGATAGGTATGTGGTGATTCCTGTCATTTAGTTGTCTTAGTTGTTTGAAGGTTTTATTTGACCACCACCTCTTGGGTAACTAAGATTATAGGCTTGAGCCACTACACTTGGCCCAGACTTGTTTTCTTAATAATAAAGGAATAGGAGAGATGAATAAGTAGTAAGGAAAATTAAAAGTTTATCTTTTGAGAAATTACAATAGTTTGTCATTCTTGCATATGTTAACATTGAGTAACTACCATATGCCTTGCTTACTGAACTCCATACAAACAAACATTAATGTAACAATCATTACTCAGAGAGGAAAACAAAGATTAGAAGAACTTTTATACAATTTTAAAGTGTCTAAATATACCTCCTAGAGAACTAATGGAAATGCATAGTTTACATATGATTTTTGAGTGCTTTTGAAATTGTGATAAAGTAGATACATAATAAAAATTTTCACTTTAACTCTACTATCAGTAAGTATAGCCTTTAGTACCTTCACATTGTGATGTAACCACCACCACTCTCCGTCTCCAGAATTTTCCATCATCCCAAACTGAAACTCTGTACTAATCAAACAATAACTCACCAGTTCCCCCACTATTCTACTTAGTGTGCCTTGAATTTGACTGTTCCAGGAACATAATTTAAGTGAAATCATACCATATTTGTGTCACAATTTGGGGGAGGGCACTTTCAAAAGCATCTGAGCTAGAGAATTGCAAATTAATGTAGTGCCAATCAATAGTTCACTTGAGAATAATATGCTGAAATCAAATGATTTTCTATTGTAAAAACCAGTTTTTGTCTCTAAACTAGGTCCTTTCCCACAAGACCAAGGGCTGGTGGAGTGACTTAAGTGGTAAGAGAGTCTGCCTAGCAAGCCTGAGGCCCTGAGTTTAAAATCCCAGTATGGCCAGAAAAATCCAATAATAAGACTAAGCACCAACTGAGTAGTAAAGGGAAGTTTTATTCTTGACTAAGAGTAGAAGTGGGAGAAATACTCTCAAGTTAATTTCTCAACCCTTGGCAGTCAGGAGGTTATAATATAGAGTAAAAGACGTGAGGTGGGGTGGACAGGCCATAAAGGCGGGTAATACTCATGTTTTTCTCTGGGAAGCGCAGAGATGTTTCTAGAATTCTTGGGCTGCCTCTTTTCACTCTTTGTCTGGTTCTTTCCAGTTATCCCTATGGTCATTGCTACTTTAGAGGTCACATGCAGTCAGTCTGCAGCAAACTTAGATCCAGCCACCTTTGGCTAGCCCACCAAGAAGAGCATCTGGTCTGTGGGCATCCTGCCCTCAAAGATAAACAAGATTAGAGTGAGGTAGAAATTCAGCAGATCACCAAGGAAGTACTCAGGGTAACATTACCTTTTCAATGCGGAATTCAGCATTCTTAAGCTCAAAAGCCATATCTCTCTTTCCCACTATTCAGGATAAAATTTAGCCTTTTATACTTTTAGGAATTTTACTTATATTTAAGATTTATATACTTTAAGCAATAAAATGTATATAGCATTACTGTTAGTCCCTTTTATAAAGACTGTCAGTTATGTCCTAAGCACCTTAATTAGTTATCTCTTTTTTTAATCTTCACAACAACTCCATGAAGGATACGATGTCCTGCTTTGAAGGATGGAAATCAAGACTGAGATACGTATAGTAACTATTCCAAAGGCACACAACTGGTATAAAACCAACTTGGGGCCTGGTGGGGGGAGGTGATTGAACTCACATCTGTGACTCAAAATCTCACATAATGTCTGTATTTTAAAATTATCAGCATAAATTAATTGTCTGACAGGATTTCATTGTGACATTTACAACCTGCATATCATGTTTTGAGAAAATTCACCCTATGTTACACTTTCTTAATGCCTCCCTTCTTTTTATAGGTTTTGTTGAGTTTCACTGTGCCATTTTCATACATATTTATAATGTACTTCTATAATATTCACCCCCTACCACTCTCTCCTTTCTCCCTCCTCCCATCCACTGATCACCACCCCCACAAACAGTCCCCCTTTTGTGGTCATGTCGTATGATATGTATTTTTAGGTCTAGATGCCTCATTCGAACAAAAACATGGTATTTGTCTTTCTGAGCTTGGCTTATCTCACTTAACATAGTGATCTCCAGTTCCATCCATTTTCCTGCAAATGACATAATTTCATTCATCATTATGGCTGAATTTTCTTTATCTGATCATTATTGGACATCTAGACTGGTCCCAATTCTTGGCTATTGTAAATAGTGCTGCTATAAATGGGTATGCAGGTATCTCTTGTCTGCATTCCTTTGGATATACACCCAAGAGTGGTATAGCAGGATCATATGGTATTTCTATTTTTAGTTTCTTTAGGAAACCATCTACATTTAGCAAAACACTGATATGATAAAGATGAGAAGCATTTCTTTTTCTGAGCCAAAACTTTTTGAAATATATAATTTCCATATATTTTTCTATATAAAAATATTTAGTGTCAATGTCAGCTTCAACATGACTTGAAGAAATATATTAAAATAAATAGTTAAATCACCTCAAATTATCTCTTGCCTGCTCTAAGGAAGAAAAAGAATTGAAAATGAAGCAACACCATTGTATTCACTTGTAAATAACATATTGCAGCCAACTGTTTCTTAATTGCTCAGACTATTGATAAATAATCTAAGCCGGCTGCTCTCTACAGACAATTTGCTTTGGATCAGACCAGGCAATTCAAACAACACTAATTACAGGGAAACCTTTTATATGAATTCCTATTTGTCATGGGGAAGAAAATCCGTTGATAAAGAGTTAAAGGTACTTTTTTTTTGTTTCTGACTTTTGTCTGAAACATAATACTGGTAACCTGGGCTGAAGTTATATTAGTTGAATGAATTTTGATTGGATAAAAATGATAAAGGACTTTATTGAAAAAATGTGTATTTCCTTGCTTTTACTGCTTTTTGTACTGTTGTAAAATATGCTAATTTTGTATTTTTAATTAAGAGATAGAACAGATGTGGAAACTATGTAAAGCAACATTTTTAGTGAAATAAGCTACATTGCTAAATGATTTTTTACTATAACAGAGATTTGTATACTAATAGAGAAATGTATCTTTACCAGAAAGAAACTAAGTCTTTAGGAATTCTTCACTCTATCAAGGGATTTGCTGTAACACGATATCATCATATTTATGATTTTATGGAGTTAAAATGAATATTAAATGAAACAAAATTCCCAAGGATTACTCAGGAGGCAGCTAAGTACATAACATTTTGCATAGATGGTTGGAAGGCACAATTTTGCTCCATCACTGCATCCATATCCTTGAACGATTTAGACTGAAGACAGCATTTCTTTGAATTTTTCATTAAACCAGACGTCTTGAAATATGAATTCCTTTTATGTTTCTGTGAGTTTTGGCTAAAAGAACCCCAGTGAATAAATCATACAATACTACGTGTCACCAGCACTTGTGAATATTTCTGCTTTGTTATTCTATTCTCAGTAGAGCACCATTGATTATCAAACTCAGCGGAGAGCATTTTATGATCATATATCTCCATTAGCTCCTAGTTTGACTACCATAGATTTTTCTGGTTAAGCTTGCATTATGTATTAGGAAGCCTATCTCTTCAATACAAAGTTTGATTTCATTTTTCTAAGCCTAGATATCTTATTATGTATTATGTATAAAGATTCTTATCTTTTATATGTAAAAACAGGCTGCACTGTCTTTGTGTAACTGAAATGTATGCCATCTTTTTTTTCTTGATTCACAGATATCATATTATACTATGAAGATGAATTTCTACAATGCAATGGCTGTCAGGGTAAATATTTCCTCACTTGTTAAACAAATGAAAAGTCAATTGTGCCCTGAATTCGCTTTTAATAAAATGAGCAAAGCAGAGTAATGCAAATCTGATTGATATGCTAATGATAAAGAAAGAAAAGAATACATGGTTAAAAAGTTAGTTATGCTAAATAATCTTGGCAGTATTAAAAATTAGTGTAAAATGTAAAATATATAATTATAAATGCTTATGCTTTAGAATGTTAAATATCTCTGAGTCATAACTAGAGAAAGACTAAATATTAATGAAGCAATGTATTAGTTTCCATTTGTCATACAGAATATTGTGATAAATAGACAAACAGGTTCTGGAATACAAGAATCCTACCTACTACAAATCAATTAGAAATTATTCATATGATTTAACAGTAATAAAGTCAGTTTCCAGCTTAGTTTTATTTCTGTCATTTCTATGTTCATTTTTTTGTGCTATTTTTCTAATTAAAAGCTGAGTTTAGCAATTATAGGGTTTGAACCTGGTTTCTGCACAGATTTGGTGAATGGGTACAACAAAAATATTACTTCTTTTGTTTCAAACAATATGGGAATGGCTTAATTGCTAAACAATTACAAATGGAGAAATTTCTTAAGGGAATTTCATTAGTGTTCTTAAAACCTATATTGCCTTCTTATAGTCTCTTTCATTAATCTGTTGTAAAGAATGGATTTGGGGTGAGGCAAGATAGTATATACTTTGTGAAAGGTCTGTGTTGAACCAGGGCAACCAAATTAACATTATTTTGATTGTGTATACTGCTTTTGGAAGGGTTGTATTCCTGTACGAGTGTGAGAGTACTGGGGCCTAGCTCAAGTCTCCAGCGTCCCTGTCTACCTCTCTGCTCTTCTGAAGTTTATGAAAAGAAACAAACAAGAGAAAAAAACAGATCTTCCTGTTTCTTCTGAGCCAGAGGCAGAAACTCCAGCTGCAGTGTTTCCCTCTCTCAGTATTAGTCACATACAAAAAGGATTTAATTTTTCCCTTTTTAATGGGAATGCATTCTTCTGAAAATTTAGAGAATACCTAAAGCAGTTAATGACCAAAGCCTTACACATCCCCATGGATCACAGGGGAGATCACAAAAGGAGAGCTTCCCTGCCTCTGGGTTACCAGAGAGAAGCATAGAACTCAGTGTTAGAAAAATGTCCCAGATCTGCATATTGAATTCTGATCTGCTTGAACACTTGAGGTTCCTTTTAACCTAGGTTTACCTAAGAAACTCACATTAATATAAGTCATTTGGAACAGCTGAGAGTTTTTTGGGTTTTTTTTTAACTCATTTCAATATCACACATAAAAGCTCTACTTCCTAGTAGTAAATGTCAGTTTATCTTTGATTAGCATCAATAGACAATGTTGAGTTTTACCTGAGCCCTATGATCCTAGAAAACAAGATTAAAAATTTTTGTGTTTAGGAAACAAACATCTCACTGCCCCCCAGCCTCCTCCGCCCCAAAAAAACCACAACACCCTTCTCATGTGACTTAGATGAGACACCCTGATACTCAAGGCCTGACACATCCCTTCTAAATACCCAATCTTTACATCACAAATGATGATTATCTGATCTTCTTGCTCCCACTGATTAATTTGGACAAAATGTTTGTTTTGCTAAACTGTGATTTAGCTTCTCTTCTTCCCCCAGGTCTGGAACTTTGGCCAGCATAGAACATCTTTTCAGCTGACTTCAGGATAAAGCATTTTCTGATACATTCTTCAATCATACCTCCCTTTCATCCTACTTCCTCATATCAGATACTTTCTACTCTTGTTTGTATCTTTGTATAAAACAAAAACTCTTTTAGTCTGACTCTTGAAGTTCTGGCAAATCTTATGGTCAAAATGTTCTCCCTTTCACTGTTGTCCACCTCTGCCTATTGCAGTAGTTACTTCCTCCCTCTCCCATTGCAATAATCTTTCCAGTAAAGCCTGTCCTTATGAAATCTGTATTATTTATTTATTTGTTTATTGCAGTATTGGAGATTGAAATTAGGGCCTTCTGCTTTCTAGACAAGTGCTCTACCATTTGAGCCACCCCCAACCCCGCAAGTGGATTCCTTTTTTTAAAAAAGTGATTTTATTAGTATATAATAGTTGTACAGGGGGATACATTGTGATATTTACATATGTGTTTAAAATATATCTTAGTTGAATTTACCCCATCCATCATTCTCCTTCTTACCCCCGCCCCCTTCTTAGAACAATTTCACAGGTTTCATTCTTCTGTTTTCATATATGGATACAAAATACATCCATTATATACACTCTCATTCCCTTTCTTTCTGCCCACCCCCTCCTACTAATAGCCACACCCAGAAAAGATTTAGTTTTCCCTCCTGCCCTTCAGTTTTTTAATTTGAGTATCTATTGATAGACCAAGGGGGTTTCACCTTGGTACTTCAGATCTCTATATACCATGCTTTAATCAAATTAACCGCCTCATCCCCGTTTCTTACTCACTCTCTATCACCATGGTCCCCAATATTTAACAGCTTACTGTACAGTGTAGTATATTACATTAATATATAGATGGATTGTTTCAATATTTTTCATTCTCTAACATTTTCTTTATCTCTCCCACTTCCTGTAGCTTTGTAAGAGATGAGGTGTCTGATGTTTCTAAATTGGGAAATCAGGAATGAGGCTCACTTACAGGCCAGAAAGTGATTCTCTAGCAAAGATTAATTTTTAGCATTAGTTGATCACAGTGACCGGTTACAAGAACTGGATTTATTTATAAGTGAATTTTGTTAGATGTGCTTGAAAATTTTTGCTGTCTGCAGGAGTCATTGAAGAGAACACTGTATGGTCCATATACTGTTCTGTTATACACATCTGATGATTATACCCTAACTGGGTGCCAGCAGCTGATGTTTTACTTCTAGTACCTACAACTCTGCCTTTTCAGTTCAAAGTTACCAAGTAACTACCCTAGATATGATTCAAATGTAGGTGGTTGTGAGTGTCCAAAAAGATAACTACCAAAAATCTATATGACCATTAATGTTCAAACAGATATTCATATATGTACAGATCATGAATAGACCTTCATCTACAATAGGTAAAAAAGAAAAAAGCTCATCCTAATTTGCCACATGAACTGAACCAATTGCAAGTTATGCATTTGGTACTCATTGCTAGCATGACGACTAAATCATATTCAGTTGTCAAAAAGGCTAGTGGAGCAGAGGAGTTCTAGAAATTTATTTATAGTCTACCCTAAATAGATGGCCATACTTTTGTAATGAAGAACAAATTACATGTATGTGATTTTTTTATGTAATAGATATTAATATCCTCATTTCCTGCATTTATTTTTTAGAGGGTCACCTTTTCTCCAAAGGATTTATGATCCCCCCCATTCCTCTAGAATTGATCTCGCTTGCTTTTTATTTCCCTATTTTACCATTGACATACTTTTGTTATAGAACTTGTAACATTTTATTATCCTTACTAATTTGCATGCCAGTCTCTACCCCTCCACACACACTGTAAGTCCTCTGAGGCCCAGATCCTGCCTTCATCTTTGTATCTCTAATGCTTGACTTATGGTAGGTGGTTAAATAAATATCCCTGAATAAATCAATGAACATGGGCCCATTTTTTTTCTATCTACAGAGTTAAAAAAAAAAAAGTCCTTGGCTTAAGTTCTTTTTCTCTACAACTCTGGGTGTCCTTGTTGGAAATTATTTAAGCCTTTGTTGTGGTATCTTTAAGCCTTTTTAAATTACCTGATTAGGTTATGTGGTATAGGTAAACTAAACATGGTAAGGTGAAATTTACTTAGTAATCAATTCACCAGTGAGTGGAAGGCTTCATAAGAGTTAAGATCTTTCCTAAGTTTTGTAACACAGGCAGATTTGATAGAGGTTTGCTATGGCATATGCTGCTGTCAGAGCCTATAGTCTGTCTCTACAGAGCCCCTGTTGCTGACTTGCTACTAGGCCAGTGACAGTCAATTAATACAGCAGTAAATTGCTCAGTAAATTTTTATCTAGCTCCAGGGGCCCTCTTTCTCCTGTGTCTTGATGTGACATTTTATTTCCTTTTTAGTTTTCAATTTGACTTTATCCCAGATTAGGGTTCTGTTTTTGCTTCAGCATTTTAGCCACTATTGTGTACCTAATTTGCTTCCTAATTTTATTTTCATTTTTTCTCTTTGAACAGCTTTCAGTATCATACAAATGCACAATCTAATTCATTTCCTCAACTCATTGCTCTCCTGTCCTATCTAGATAGATAATCATGTATTTTCTTACAGTGTGGCACTTCTGATGCCTGTGAGCATATAGGTTAGAACTTGGCTGTCACCCGCCAAATACTAAGGGTATAAACTCAGTCCTAAAAATACAATGTTAGATGAGGACAAGAATTAATTCATGTGTGAGAAGCCTGTTTAAAAATATCCCCAGGTAGCAAAAAAAAAAAAAAAAAAGTGAACATTGGTGGAATTATTTCACTCATCCTAAGGTCAATTACTTGTCTTTTTTCTCTAGCACCTTGACTCATGGTTCTCAATATTTAGTGTTTTCTTTTGCTTGTGGTTTTTACTTACTGGTTGATCTCATCCATGAGTCTCTTGTATGGAATGACACCAATCTTATACCTAATTCTTCCTCTTTATGGGAGAAATAACCTGAAACCAAGATTGCATATGTTCACTTGAACATTGTCACTGAGGTGCCCTCTTTCCCAGTTGAATGATTCCGGATTCTGAAACTTGTTATCTTAGCATGAATATACACAGCTGAAAGATACCCGAATGTTCTTTAGTCAAACTGACTGCCAGTGAGAGCTGTGTGTCTCTGAGGCCAGGCAATAGAAAGATAGCCATGCCACCTATTCCTAAAGCTGCTCAGAACCATTGGCGTGTAATAATGAGTTAGCATCTGCATAGCAGTCACTACTCTTGGGTACCATTCTAAGTATTTTAAATATTGCAATTCTTCTTTACAATTGTAGCAACCAGCTCTCTGAGG